TGCGCGGGGCTCGTGCAGAGAGACGCCCGCCGGGCCGAGCCCGCCCGGCGTGCCTGCCGCCTCGCCGATCCGCCCGTCCTTCCGCCTGCTGCGGCTCCCGCCCGCCCGCCTGAGGCGCCCTCGGCCCGCATCTGCCCGGCCGCTTGCAGCAACCTGGCGGGCATCGGCCTGGGGACGCCTGACCCGCAACCGGCTCTGGGCAATGTGTGGCCCACCAGACGTGAAGGCACAGCAGCACCCGCATCAGGCTCAGCCGGAAGCACCTGGCGTTGCGTTGCTTCGTGTTTCCCGGATTGTCCAGTGGCCTCCACTCCATCATCCTCTCATTTAGAAAAGAATTTTTCAAGGCGTGGATGAAAGGACAACTCGCCTGGCTTAAGTGTTCAATTCGTCTCGCAAAGAAAAAAATCTGTCAATCTGCATGTTCAATGGTATGCGTCTAAATGCGTTTGAAACATAGAAGCAGAGCGAGTCAGAAGGAGCCTCCGGGGCCATCTAGTCCGACCCCCGGCTCCAGCCGGCTCCACTTACAACATGCGTGTACATGTCGAAGCCCACTGGGCTGTTCTCCAGCATCCTCAACTGCAGCTGACAGAAGGTGGGGACTGTGGCAAAGGAAAGCTCGGGGCACCAGCTCAAGGAATGCTGCCGTCTGCCTGCCTGCCTGCCTGCCCCCTTCGCCTCTGCACAGCTCACATGCAGTCCGTGGGGAGAGGGCCGGAGTGCCTCGTCCATTGTGGCCTGCAGGTGTCCTTCACCAGGGACCCCGTGCTGGCGTCCCTGAGGAGGGTCCAGAAGGGCAGGCAGCTCCGTTTATCGGCATTAACAAAGCAGGTGTGGCGGCTTTGGACTTCCATGAATGCAGGCCCTGAGTGCCCATTCCTGCCCAAGAAGGCCTGCAGAACTGCAGGGAGAAGCTGCCTTGGGGTTACAGGAATAGGCAGCCTAGAAATGAGATTATGTAGAAATAAATAATGGACGTGGGAAACGCGTCTTTGCCGCCCTGGCTACTGCGGATTGCAGCTAAGCGCAGCAGGAACAGAGACTTTGAGCGGGCGGCAGAGGGAGTCAGTTTCTCTGCTAATCGTGCAGCCCCAGAAGTTGGCCCTGCCAACCTGCGTGAGGGTGCGGCAGGCAGCTTCCCGAGGGCGCCTGAAACTGGCTCAGAGGGGCAGGTGGGGAGAGGTGCTCTCGGAGTCTTCCATGGAAGCTGATAGCCCCCAGGGTGCAGAAGATGGCCCTGGGCAGGTACCTAGACCATGGCAGCCGTGCTTCTCCTCTTCGGATGAGCAGGACATGTTTAATGCATTAGGGCATCTTTAGAAATCCCTTTGAAGATGAAACGCTCGCTGTTAGGTGGCTGGGACGATCGTGGCACACACAGGCACAAAGGCTGGCGATAAACAGAATGCTTAATTGCCTGCCTGCATAAATATTTCTGACGGGGAGGGCTGGGAGGCCCCCATCCCAGGCAGCTGCCTTGACTGAGAGGAAAGAGAGCAGCCCTGCCCTCAGCTGTCTTCCTGATCTGTCTTTACACAGGGATGCGGGGAGGGGCCAAAGATCCTGGCGGGATCCAGGCCTCCCCCCCCGCCTGCGCAGAGCCTGCCTCTTCTCCACCACCTGCCCTCTCGCAGGAAGCGCCTCCTGCCAGGGCTTTTGATGCCTGCTGCTTCCCCAGGAGGTTCCCCGCTTGGGAGGTGAGGAGGCAGCCAGCAGAATGCCAGCCTTGGGGGTGTGCTCGCCGTGGGGTTCGCTTTCAGACCAGCTGCTGCCGGTGCAGAACACACTGTGGCAAGATTGCTCAGTGGGGTTTCGTAACGTGGCTTGTGCCCGAAGGCTGTCGGCCGCTGAACCATGGTTGGGATGCTGTTGTTGGTGGACGAGAGCCCCAGCAGCTGTGGACACGGTTCTCCCAGCGGCTACCTTCTCCCACATAGGCCACCCACCCCACGTTTATTGCATGGCAGCCTCCTGAGGCCTGTTTGGCGTGGGGTGTGGAGGCCACCACGTGGAACGTTCTCCCTGGCGAGTCAGGCAAGCTCCTGGCACGGAATGCTTCCGGCACCAACGGAGCCCCCTTTTCTGCTGGCACTGCCAGTTCTCCCGGCTGGTTTTGTTATTTTATTGTTCTGATAATGCATTATTGTTTCAACTACTGTCTTCATCGCATTTTATCCTGTTTTTTATCTTGCAAACTGCTTTGGGGTTTTTAAAAATCGACATACAAAGCAGCTTTGTAGAAAACTGCTCTAAGGTGGAGCAGGAAGAGTTAACGGCACAGAGGAGGATGTTGTGGGGGAGGCAGAAGAGGAGGGCAGCACACAACTAAAAAACACATGCCTTTTAATTTAATTTAATTTAGATTTAATGTGTAAAACTGTTACTCTTGGCCAGAAGCACCCAGGCTGGGCCAAGAGCAAGGATGCTTTTGCACTCAAAGGCTGTTTTGAAATGCACATGCCAGGCCGGGCCAGAGCCGGGCCGGCCCATCGTGCGCAGCACCTCCCCCTTGACTGCCTCCGGGCAGGCGGCTCTCGGCACAGATGGAGAAAGGGTGCCCAAGACGCTTGTCCCACTCCTGTGCTGTCAAACCACGAGCCACAGGGGCAGAGAAGCAGAGCGAGTCCGAAGGGCCCTCCCAGGCCATCTAGTCTGACCCCAGCTCCAGCCAGCTCAGCTCACATGCCCATCATGGGCCTCATCCATGGGGATTGTTGATTGGCTCTGCTCTGTGAAGCACCTTCGGAAGCAGGCATCTCGGGAGCAAAGGGGGGTGGGGGTGGCGGCTGCTGGATGCCACGCAGTTCCAGAGCAGCAGCCATGCTCAGGGAAGGCCTGAGCTCTGGGCATGGACCAGGTTGCTGGCGAGCCAAGTGAAAAAGCACTGCCAGGGCAAATCAGCTGGACGGAGGGTGCTGGCCAGGGTGGCCAGTAGCCGGGCCAGAGGAAAGCCCTGCCTGGCAAGCTGGGCCTTGAACCCATTCTTCTGCTTCGAGAGCCCACCACCTCTCTAGGCAGCTGGTTCCACTGTCATATTGTTCTGACAGTGAGGAAGCTTTTCCTGATGTCCAGCCTGAATCTGGGTTGTTGCAACTTGATTATTCCGTGTCCTACACTCTGGCATCAGCAAGAAGAGATCCTGACCTTCCTCTTTGTGATAGGCTTTGAAATACTTATACAAGGATCTCATGTCCCCCCTCAGTCTCTTTTCCCAAGGCTGAACATGCCCAGTTCTCTCAGCCCCTCCTCACAGGGCAATGTTTCCAAACCATGGATCATTTTTGTCGCCTTCCTCTGGACCTTTTCAAAGTTTTTAGCATCTTTCTTTCTAGGTTTCTAAATCGTGGTGCGTATAACTGGTCACAGTACTCCAGGTGAGGTCTGACTAGTGAAGAGTATAGGGGAACTACTACTTCTCATGATTCGGAAGTAATACTTCTCTTAATGCATCCCATAATAGCATTTGCCCTTTTTGCAGCTGCATCACATTGTTGGCTCATGCTTAGCCTGTTGTCCACAATAACTTCAAGGTCTTTTTCCGTTTCAGTTCTGCTGAGCCACGTGTTCCCCATCTTGTATCGATGCCTTTGGTTGCTTTTCCCCAGGTGGAGGACTTGCCATTGGTCCCTATTGAATCTCATTATGTTGCTTTCAGCTCGGCTTTCAAGCTTATCAAGATCATGCTGGATCTGCATTGTCTTCTAGGGCGCTTGCTGTTCCACCCAGTTTTGTATCATCTGCAAATGTGATTACCTTTCCTTGTCTTGTGTCATCTAAATCATTACTTAACAATGAAGCGCACAGGGCCCAGGATTGAACCCCGCAGCATTGCCAGTAGTTCTCTTTCTCCAGTTTAAGAAAGAGCCACCCACTTGTTAATTTGGGATTCCTGGTCAGGCTGACAAGCCTGGAAGGCTCTAGAAAAGGGCTATTTGCACCGGTTGGGCATCCCACTGCAGCCGAGAGGAGAGCAACCGAGCGGCTGGCACATGGAGCTGCCCGAGCGTCAGTGGCCCTGCTTTGCTAGGCCTGGAAGCCTTCGTGGCTGTGGAGACGGGACGGATCACCTTTCCTTCTGGTCCAGGACAGAGATCCGATATCAGTAGCTGGAAGAAAGGCGACACAGCACTCGAAGAGGAGTCTGCCCGGTCCCTTCTGGGGTGGAAGGGCAGGCACAGGCAAGGCTGTTCCTTGGGAAGCCAGGCGGCTGTGGCTCCTGGCGCCCATGCAGCTCATCACTGGCTGGGTTTGGAAAGGGAGGACTGAAGCTGCCAGAGACACCGAGCAAAACTCCACAGTCCGCAGAGCAGAAGGAAGGGGCTCGTTCCGTCTGCCAAAGCTCCGGTGAGCCTGCCTCCAAAGCCCTGTGAGGCCCAGCTTGGCACACGGGTGCAGCCAGCGAAGGGAGCACTCTGGCCACGCTTGCCCGGGATCAAGCACCTGCAGTGTGCCCTGTGGCACCTGGGCCCTAAAAATGGACTCCAGCAAGCACTGCCATTCCAGAAATGTCAGCCCTTGCCCCAGAGGGAGGCAGAGAACAAGAGAGAGCTGCAGTGGAGGTTAAAGAAATTGATCCTTGGGAGATAAATTTATCCTCCTCTGGAATTTTACAGAAATAGATAGAGCATAAGGCTCATGGGCTCAAGTTTCAAAAGGCTGTAGGAGGCAGCACTCTGAATGGAGCCAGTGAGCTTCCGGAAGGAAGGAGGAAGGGGGACGAACAGAGGAGTGGAGGCGAGTGGTCCCCGCGCAGCGAGCCCGGCTAATCCCCATCGTGACAGTCCGTGGCCCTGCCGAGACAGAGAGCACCAGGACACGGCGGTGCAGTCTTAAGATGGAGGCAGTGGACTGGAAGTGCCACCCCAGAATGCAGGTGTCACGAGAAAATGCCATTTCCAAATGCTCAGCTGTCTGACCCCCACCCCCAATAGCACAAAAGGAAATGGGCTGGGATAGACGCTTTCCCTGATGTGCATCCCACAGTTCATAAAACAAACAACCAAACTGCATAATTTCCCCCCGAATGCAAACATTTAAAAACAAGTTTAAAACAGCTGAACGCAGGAGACATGGTAGAGCTGGGAAGGGTGGTCCCCTCAAGCCGCCCAAGTTTTGTTGCACGTTTTTAAAAGCCTCGTCCCAGGAGGCCCCTTTGACCTGGGACCAGAGGAATGCCAGGGTGCGCCCAAGGCAGGTCTTAGTGAGGAAATCTCTTCGCACTGGAGGAGCCGTCCTGGGAAGCCTCTCCGCCTTGTTGCCAGCCTCCAAGCTTCCCTTGTCGGCCGCACGCACAGGAAGGTCCCGGATGTTGTCCTATATGGGCAGTTGGAGAGGCATTCCAGTACTGTGGTCCCAAACCCACACTGCTAAAACCAGCACCTTAAAGTACGAGCTAAAACCAGCACCTTAAATAAGGCTCGGAGACATGTAGGCACCCCACGCAAGCAGGCCGGAGGGGTCCTTCATGCCCAGACACACTGGCTCTAGCAATTAGTTTGGCTGCCTCGTTTTGCACAAACTGCAGCTTCCGGAGTCTTCAAGGGCAGCCCCACACAGAGCGCGGCGCAGCCATC